TACTCTTCCCTACTAACCATTCAAATTGTTTATGATGTATGCTTATTTTTTCAGATCTGTATTACTATTATGGGATGGCAGGTGATTCTGATTTTGATGTTAATTGTTTTACATTTTTTTTCCATTAGTTGATAAACCAAATGAACAATAAAATTTATATCGTTTTTTATAGAAATCGTTACACTAATAAGTTTCTCGATGATGTGCGGAGTATGTAACATCGTCTTTGTAATATCTGCAATAAAAACAACATATAAATAGTCGAGGAGAAGATTCTTCGTGTGGATTTTCTATAGCTCTTTTCCCTGTGGACTTTCTAGCGACAAAAATGGGGTAACGGGCAGCCAGACCCAAACCGAGATCTTACCTATGAAGAACTCCATAATTTCATTGACTCCCTTTCTTATCACTTTTACTAGAGGGATAAGTCAGACCTCCAGTTTTAACCATTTCCCAACATAATCCTCACGACATTCCGTTGGATACTGTGATTAAACCCACTGCAATTTCCTGAGAATACAGAATGATCTCCACACAGTACTTAAACAATATTTAGTACGGAACTTGTGGAGTAATCGAAGTACATACCTGGTATTATGAACATTCTGTTGGGAAATGCCATCTAGTTATTTGATTTATAGAAATTCTTTTGGTTATAGGGAAATCGGGACTGTTAGGTCATACCTGACAAATGCGCCACCAAGTAATGACAAAGGTATTCTATTACCGTTGTGCACTCCGTTGAAATTGCCGCAACTGATTTACAATATTTTATTTACCAACTCTCTTTTTCGGCTGGAACGTGTGGAACGCATATATATATATATATATATATATATATATATATATATATATATATATATATATATATATATATATATAAATACACATCCATATATGAATATATGTATATGTGTGTGTGATATATTTATACTTGCACACACTCACACACACACACACACACACACACACACACACACACACACACACACACACACACACACACACACACACACACACACACACACACACACACATCTGCATGTACCAACACACGCACGCACACACATGTGACTGCGCGACGGTCCTGTGGCTCCGACTTTCGTGATGCCGAGTTCGATTCCTTGCCGCGGCAGTTGTAAAATATCTGCGCTCCGACTGCTGGCTCGATCCCGGGCTCACAGCGATAAAACGTCATATCCAACGCAGGTGTCGTAAGGGAAGTCGTCGCAATGGCACAGGTGTTAATGGTCTGGTCCTTGGCATCCTTATGTTACCTACACCCCAGTCTGTTCCTGTCTTTGTCCAACCAATGTTCTGTCTCCGACATATATGACCTTCCCATTGCCAAGTATATTTTCGACTTTTGTCTGTTCCTGATCCACGTCACCCTCATTCTGTCTCTTAGGCTAATTCCCAGCATCAACCTTTCCATTCCTCTCTAGGCAGTTATTAATTTCCTCTTCAGTAATTTGGTCGTAGTCCATGTTTCTGACCCATAGGCCATAACTGGGAAGACGCATTTTCTTTTCATACATAATGGCAAGGAATTTCTTACTCTATACTGCTGCCTGCTCATAGTCTACGAATAGCTTCTAATAATGGTATTTATACAAAATCAAATGCCTTTTCGTAACCAATGAATGCCATACATAAGGCTTTCCTATATTCATTTATTTTTTTTCTCTGATTTGGGTTAGTGTATGAATGTAGGTTAGTGTAAGTATATATATGTATATATATATATATATATATATATATATATATATATATATATATGTGTGTGTGTGTGTGTGTGTGTGTGTGTGTGTGTGTGTGTGTGTATACATATATATATATATATATATATATATATATATATATATATATAGATAGATAGATAGATAGATAGATAGATAGATAGATAGATATACACACATATACGCACATACGTATATATATATATATATATATATATATATATATATATATAGATAGATAGATAGATAGATAGATAGATAGATAGATATAAGTATATATATATATATATATATATATATATATATATATATATATATATATATGTTTATATGTACATATGTATATATATGCATGTATGGATGTATTATGTTCATGCTATAGACCGGAGCCACCATATTTTCTTAGTAATGAAATGCAGTCCATTGACATTAATAAAAAATCAGTTAGCGAAAATTGTTAAGTTCATATCTAGACCCAGTGATTAAATGGCTGGAAAAGAAAGAGTACAATTTTCTACTTACCTTTAACAATTAATTATAAGATACAAATTTTCATTCTTACTGATGTGCCAAAATTAATATGAACATATATAGATATGTTAATATATATGTATATATATATATATATATATATATATATATATATATATATATATATAAACATATATCGGTATATATATATATATATATATATATATATATATATATATATATATATATATATATGTGTGTGTGTGTGTGTGTGTGTGTGTGTGTGTGTGTGTGTGTGTGTGTGTGTGTATGTGTGTGTGTGTGTGTGTGTTTGTGTGTATGTGCATCTTTTTGTTACAGAGTCAGAACTAGTACCACCAATGAATACATTTGATTAAAGTAAATTGTTTCTAGCCTTATCTGTTAACGTTGGCAAATGAAATTAAATATAAAAAAAATGTCATACAGGGTAAATATTTCCTTCATTAAAACATTTAGGGGAGACAAAATATACTTGAAATGATCCAATTACTATACAGTCATCACTATTATAAAGAATTCATGCAACATCCAGGCAAAACGTGAGTAAACTATTTTCGAGAAATCATTTTTGTCATGTCTTTCTAACGCATCAGATATTGCGCCTGACCTAAGATCATTCGACTGTTGTGCCACACTATGGAAAATTTCGCATTGAACTGGTCGGTTTAAAATAAGACAGCATTTCTTTCTTTATATTCAGCGGGAGTGGAAAGCATGGTGCCCTCTTCATCATCAGACATATTTCGGCAATTTTAAGAGACAAAATTTAACTTTTGAGTGTACCTGTTCATTTGACAAGGAAAAAAATATGTTTAGGTCTCAAAGGGTACCACTTCATGCAATACAACAATGATAATTGAAAATAAACTTTATCAGATGGAAAAACCGCCTTATTTATTACAGTACGGTAAGATAAAAATACATTTTCAGTTTTTTTTCTCTATTTCCTTTAGATGTGAACTTGTCTCGCAAGCTTGAGATATCACCTGCTGCTTTTTTTTTCTTCGTCAGGAAGAAGGAAACCTTTAGGATTATTTCGATAAGATTCACTGATAAAAAAACATATACAAGACATTGTGTCTAATGAAAACTGAGTATTCATTTACATAAATCTTTTTGGAGTGCAGAAACGGGAAGCTATCCTCCCAAGAAAATGTTTGAATATTATTATCCTTCCTGCCTTCTTCATTACAGTTCTGTATTTCTGCTTTTACATACCCACCCCCTCCCATGGAGATGAGAATTACATGTATTTTTTAAGATACATAATTTTGGAGAGCTGTAACATGAACAAAAGGCTGAAACCTCCATACTGTCAAAAAAGACGAGAGAAACCTCATACAGTTATCTCTAATCTACAAATGAAAATGATGGTACCATTTCCATGGCTGAAAAATATTTTGATTGTGTAATTTTTCCCATACCTGAAGAATATTTTCATTGTGTAATTTTTGCCATAGCTGAAAAATATTTTCATTGTGTAATAATTTTTGCATGACTTTCTTTTAAAAGTTCGTCAAATAAAATACAGTTAATGTGTTACTGTATTGCCCTTGCGTTTTCAGCCCATCTGTCACAGGACTACACTTGAACTATTTAAATTTGCGGTAATAGTGATTATATCGAATACTGCACTATCTTAAGAGAACTTAAAGGTGAAAATTTGCTGATCATTGTTTGAATCACACTTTCAGTATTTTAAAACATACAATGGTCAGCCGACAGATGTGCTAATGATTAGCATTGTGCTGAAAGTGCGCCATATATAATTTTTATGGAAGTTTGTTTAATTCGTTGGTTACTATTAGTCACTAACTTTACAGAAGTTTAATAACCGTTGTACCCGTTATACATCCAAGAATATCAATAAAATTCTTGCTTTTTCAGAAAATTTATACTGTCGTTATCCCCGAGGTTTGTTTACAGTCTCAGCTGAGAACATCCCCCGCAGCGGTGTTTATAAGGCAATGGTGATTGTCGTTTAGTGTAACTCATTGTTAAAATAGTTATATTCAAGCGTTAATCGTAGGAAAAGATAAAGGAAATAGGGTATGGGTTATGTTAAGTTTCGCAGAGGCATATGGCATAATCACAGAATTAAGAAATATAAGATGTTTGTCATATATATAAGTTGCAAGTCAAACTTATTTAGTAGAAATGATTTATGTTTTCATATATGTAATATCAGTGACCAGTTAATATAGAGTAGCTCTGAAGAAAAGAAAATGTTTTGTTTAGAGATTAATACGATCATTAATGTCTGACTTTCAATTTTCAGAAGATGGCAAATAAACTTCTGAGAACTCTGCTGTGGCGGCCGATTTCAACACGAGGCGTTTTCCTTTCACCTCCTTTCTTATCATGTGATGTTAGTTTACACCATAAACTATGGACTGGAAAACTGAAATATTGCTCGATGTCTGAGATTGTACAAAACGATGATGTTGATGTAAAAGCAAGGAGCTCAGACATATCCAGAGAGTTACAGAATAGGGGTATCAACAGGTTTTCAGAAGGACAGATTGAATCTATATACCAACTGCTTTTAGATTTAG